CCAGGCTCCGATCTCACAAGCGACGCCAGACGATCGGTGCGCTCCACGACCTGATCGGGGATGTCCCGAGTGCACTCGCACTCCCAAAATCGATGGGCGGGCGTCTCAACTGAGGCGCCGCACCTAGGGCACAAGCCCCTGGAGACTGGCAGGTATCCAGCGTCACGCAATCTGGCCTCTGTCCAATATCCTGCTGTAATCACATTTCTAAGAATCCCTACTGCCTCCACCTCCCCGTCCTTCTGAAGCTTAGCCAAGACCCCCTTCACCACCGTAAAGTCAGCCCCTCCTTCCAGCCCTGCACCCATATAATGGCGAGCAGCCTGTTGCCAAGACAGCGCCGAACATGTGTCCAGCAACTGATCCCACAAGGCTGAGGGAAACTCATCATCAACAATGCGGAGTTCGCGTGCGCCTGCACGCCAGAAAACAGGAGAAATGCCCCCCCAACTTAAATCCAGCAAAACAGCGAGGGTAGCGGCAATAGAACCCCGAACAATTTTCCAACGATATCGGGTAGACCAAAGCATAACCTTAATACGTTCCCACGTTTTACTGATCATCATCCTCTGGGAGTGGTCCAAGTGCTTCCAGACACTAGCAAAACTGAACAACTGCTCATACCGAAGCCTAAACTGGGGGTCATCCTTGGCCGAACCCAGAAGTCCCAAGACCGAGGTGGTACAAGCCCCCGACGACCACCACCCAGAGCACATGGCAGCCTGGGCCTTCATGCTTTGGACCTGACTAGGCGTGAGCCCCAAAACTTCATGGCCCCGGGGCCCGACCGCCAAAACAGCGGGCTTGTACAAACGGCTGGCCCGACAAACCAGCTTCGTGAGGTAAGAAACCTTCTGGGCTTTCTTGCGGGCCCTGCGCTGCCGCTCCTTCACCTTGCGCGTGCAGCGCCTCTTACCAGCCGTGGTCATGACCCCCAGATCACGCACAGCACGCTCACAACGAAGCATGATGCCAGCTCTATCCAACCGAGTAGTGACAGCTCGCTCCAGGGCGACACTAGGACAGACCATAGCATGCTTGTCCGAAATTACAGTGCCAGCTGCTTCAAGCTGATGCTGTAGCCACACGGCTGCTGGAACAATGGTGCTGACGATCTCATCAACCGAACCCTGCTGAGTTTGGGTGATGTCATCCACATAAGCTCGCACTCGCACTGGGAAAAAGCTGGCATGCACAAAGTCCAGCACGTCATACATATAAATCTTAACCCACGCCATAGACTGCGCACAACCTGGAAGCACCCCTACGCCTGTAGGAATGAAATCAGAGACAAACCCCCCAACCTCCTAGATGCGAGGGGCCTCATGCATAACAATCCCCAGGTACAGGAGGTGCACAGGGTACAGCATTTTCAAGGCAAATCCAGCGAGACGACAAGGGTCAACCGTATCAAAGAACTTCGCAAGGTCCCAATACAAGCCAATATACTGCACATTCATGTACGAGGCCATCTCATGACCAACTTCACGCAACAGGGCGGCCAGAAGGCAGCACGCTCGGTGGTCCAGGAACTAATCTCCCGCCCTCGAGCCTTGCAGTAGACTCGATATAAGGTGGCGCGCTTGCAGATAGGACGCTCCGCGTCCTTGGCCTTAGGGAGGAGAGAGATGATACCAAGCATGGTTTGGGTGGGCCACATCATGTGGCGCTCGCGCTGATTGGGGAGCTCCGCATAGACCCCAACAGCGGACGGAGGAAGAAGCAACAGGGAACGCGGGGCCCAGTGATCACCCCCCACGGCCGTATCAGTCTTGAACACCAGCGCCGCTCGATGCACATCAAGCGGCCCCAGAGGCTCCAGTTCCTCCGCAGCCGCCAGCGCGACCACCCGGAGCTCATCCAACACCCCCGACAATCTCTCTCGTTTCTCAGGACTGGCTTCCCAATAACCCCTCCAATACTTTTCACGATAAGCCAAGAGGTCCTCAGGGAGTTGCAGGACCTCAGAGGGGGTGACGAGGTACTCGAGATCCTCGCCCTGGTCATACTTCAACCAAGCGTGGACTCGCTTGGCCCCTCTGGGAAGACAACGTAGCAGCCAGGCCTTCATCTTGGCCTTGGACTCTGAGCGAGCCGCTGTCCACTTAGTCAGGGTGCTACTACATGCATCGGTGATCGCATCGAGACCTGGCACATCCTGGGGCAAGCTGGCTAACTGAGCCCGCCACCACGCAGCAGGACGGACATCTCCAGGAATCGCATGCTCTTCCACTATGAAAGCTAGAGGCACCACTATCGAGACAGCCCGATCAATAGTAACCTTAGACTTCCTGGCCAAACTCAACCTGTACTCCCAGAGGCTCTGCGATAGGTGCGCCCAGAAACAAAAAGCTGGTTGCCTAAATGACTTACCTGCAAACCCGCGACGTCCAACACTGCCGCGAGAGAAACGTGGGTACCCAGCTCGCTCACCAAAGCCCTGCGGAGCGGGATCAACTGCACACGCTCGCGAAAAATACATGCACTCCGTGACGCGGCTCCATAACCCGTAGTACTCCGAGAGAGCAGGAGACACATTCTCAGCAATATGCGGCAACAACTTCTCATGTAGGAATGCAGGGACCTCAACCTTACTTTCATCACGGCACTGCTCTAACAAGACCTCCCACGAGAAATCAGGTCGGTCCTTCGCATTCAGGGAAAGGAGCTGGCTTAAGACGCTTCCAGAGAACCTGCTCCACCACCTCAAGCCACGCTCAAGCGCGCATGTGTTTTGAAAGGCGAGGGGGTGTACTTGCCAACCTCCAAGAAACCAGCGATACCATCAGAGGCCACCACATAATCAATAAGGGTCCCCCTCCCCTGCGAACACGTAAACTCAACGCCTACAGGGGCAACAGCACGAGCACGCGCCAGTCAGGTAAATCCAGACAGCTCCAGATCATCAATAGGGAAATTCCAATCTCCCATAAGTACCCAAGGGACCGCCAGGGTGCCCACGAACTCCATGATCTCCTGAAGCCTCGAAACATTCTCGCCACAGGCGCCCAAGTCCGAAACCGTATATGCGATTCCAATCGCAATGATGGACTGTTTAGTCCGAAGCTCCAGAAACATCCGACAGCTGCCTTGGCCCAGGTCCTTCACAGACCCCGCGCCAGCCAGGACCCTACGAAAACAAAGCTCCCGAGAGACCACAGCTCCGACCCCTCCACGGGTACCCCCTCCAGGGGTGGGGGCGGCGGCCTGAAAGTGAGGCCGCCACTTCATCTGATTGCATTTCCTTCTAGCAAGCTTCGCCTGCGCCTCCGTAAGGTGATGCTCGCAGAAGAAAAACCGTCGCATGTCTGATTCACCTCATGTGCAAAAGACAGGACCACTTCATTCCAATACGCGATGTTACAAAAAGCAACTGCACAGAGCAAAGAGGCGGCCCGCTCACATGCCTACGCATGCTGCTAGGAGCTGGACCCCCGCAAGGCGGAAGACGCCGCAGCGCCCGCTCCTCCTCCAGCAGCCCCTCCTGCATCACGTGCGACGGGACCTCGTTCTTGCACCTGCTCCAGCACGCGGGCGAAACTAGCAGCTCCTTCTTCCACGCACAGTACGGAGTCGCCTCGTAGCCTTCTGAGCTGCCTGCTTGACGAGGATGGTCTCCATTCGGTTCCGCTCGGAATCGGTGAGCGCCTGTTCCAGTGACCGTTTGCGAAGCTGATCCAACTCATTACGATGATGGTCACCAAACTCGGACTCACCAACCTCCGACACGTCGTCCATGGGGGCCGCGATGCTCTGCTCCATCTGCTTGACGGCCTCCCAGTACTCGAACCTGTGGCCATGCTTCTGGCACCGCTCACGCAGGTCGCCGAGAGACATCTGCAGCAGGTCGGGGGGCCGATGGGCAGCAGCCGCTGCGCCCGCGCCCTCCTGCACCCCGCGACCCGCCTCAGCTCCTTTTCCATCTCCTTCGCCGCCCCAGCGCGCGCCGCCACCTGCGCCAGCGGCGGGGGCGGCAGGGGGGGCGCGCGGCTCGGTGAAGCCGTCTTGCGCCCCACGCTCGGCAGCAGCAGCAGCCTGGCGCTGCCCCTCGACCTCAGCACGCTTGTCCTCCTTGAGCTGGCCGATGTTGAAGCGGTTCTTCTTCGCGTCCGCCTCGCGCACGGCCTGACGCGCCAACTCCAGGTTGCGCTCCGCCTCGGTCTGGTTCTGCTGCATCTCCTCCAACGTAGCCTTCGCCTTGTTATACCGCTCCAAACGCCATTGCACCTCCTGGGCGACGAGCCGCTCCTGCTTGGTGGCCAGCTCGACCTCCTTCTCCAGGGCCGTCTGCTCCAGGGCTGCCAGCCGATCCAAATCGCAATCGGTGTACTCAGGAACTCGAGGTGGCGGCGGTGCCGCAGCATCCTTCGCCACAGATGCCACTGCAGGGTAGTGCACCGCCCACTTCTCCAGCTCACGCAGAAGATGAGGAGGCATAGGTGCTGCACCAGCTTGGGCAGACTCACGTGGTTCACCACATTCATCATGAACATCACCGCCCAGATAAGCACCGCCGCACTTGCTGCAGCTCTCGTTCCCGTAGCGCACATACTCCCAGTGCTGGCACACGCTGCACACGGCGTACTCATCACCCTTCTTGCCGCCGCGCTTCTTCTTGCTTGGCGGCCCCTCATCATCAGGCTGCCACACCCACGTGCCGCTCTGCGCGCCAGGCTGCCGACGCCGCCCTCCTCGCCACGGGGCGCGGCTGCGCCAGGACATGCGGGGCGCAGAGAGTGCAGTGAATGTGAAAAGGAATGCCAGGTCTCAAAAGGCCTTGCCTGCCGCGGTGACAGCGGTATCCGTTTCGGCACGGAGGCGCGGAGCCCCCCCAAGTGCAGGCATCTGGAGCCAAAGTGGCAACGGGAGGAGGGAGGAGGAGGAGGAAGAGGAAAAGAAAGGAAGGAGGAGGACGATGATGAGGGAATGAGGGAAGATGTTGAGAACGAGGGAAGAGAAGGAAGAGGCAGGAGGACGGAGACAGAGAAGGATCGGCCGAGGCCCCCTGGATCGCCCATGTTCGACTTCAGCGGAATCAGCGCGCACTGCCCCAAGCTGCCGCCTGCGGGCATCTCGGTGGCAGCCTCGGCAGTCCCCCGGGGGAGGGAGGCGGGAGGAGGAGGAGGAGGAGCGATAGGAGGAGGAGGAGGAGGAGGAGGAGGAGGAGGAGGAGGAGGAGGAGGAGGAGGAGGAGGACCAGTGTAAACCCCAGAGGCATCAATGATGATGTAATCAACCCTCCCTCCAAGCTCCCTCTTCATAGGCCGTACAAAGGTTCATTTCCATTGAGGGAACTGCCTCGTTGGAAGACACCGTTTGAAGACCCTGACGCATACCAAAACATTGTTTCCGGGATGCCAGCGCCACTTATCAACTTGACTGTTGCGTTTTGACGATCTTGTATCGTGCCAGCATGCCATTCTTGGTATTTCAACGCTGCAAATCAACATGACTGTTGCACCAGCATATTCCTGAATCCTTTCAAAACGTAGTTTCTGGTACGTTGATCATGGGGATCCGTGAAACTATTGCAAGTTTTATCAGCGAATGTGCGCGGCGCTAAGACGAGAGCCACATTTTGAAAAAGGAGCCGCCCTCAAACCGCCCTCAATCCGTGAAGCTCTTGCAAATGTTGAAAACAATGTGCGCGGCGCTGAGGCGAGAGCCACATTTTGAAAACCACCCGCCCTCAATCCGTGAAGCTCTTGCAACTCTTGAAAACGAACGTGCGCGACGCTAACCGAGAGGCGCATTTTGAAAACGGGGGGCCCTCAATCCGTGAAGGTCTTGTATTTTTTGAACGAATTTGCGCGGCGCTAGGCGGGAACCACATTCTGACAACGACCCGCCCTCCATCTGTGAAGCTGTTGCTAATTTTTAAGCGTCAGAAGTCTTGCAAATTTTGAAAGCGAATGTGCGCGGCGCTACGGCGAGAGCCACATTTTGAAAACCACCCGCCCTCAAACCGTGAAGCTCTTGGGAATTACGAATGTGTGCGGCGCTACGGCGAGAGCCACATTTTGAAAGCCACCCGCCCTCAATCCGTGAAGCTCTTGCAACTTTTGAAAACGAATGTGTGCGGCGCTGAGGCGCGAGCCACATTTTGAAAACCACCCGCCCTCAATCCGTGAAGCTCTTGGGAATTACGAATGTGTGCGGCGGCGCTGAGGCGAGAGCCACATTTTGAAAACCACCCGCCCTCAATCCGTGAAGCTCCGTCCCCTTCTTCATTTTGAAAACCACCCGCCCTCAATCCGTGAAGCTCTTGCAACTTTTGAAAACGAATGTGTGCGGCGCTGAGGCGAGAGCCACATTTTGAAAACCACCCGCCCTCAATCCGTGAAGCTCTTGCAAACTTTGGAAAAGAATGTGCGCGGCGCTGAGGCGCGAGCCACATTTTGAAAACCACCCGCCCTCAATCCGTGAAGCTCTTGGGAATTACGAATGTGTGCGGCGCTACGGCGAGAGCCACATTTTGAAAACCACCCGCCCTCAATCCGTGAAGCTCTTGCAACTTTTGAAAACGCGCGCTGTTTTGAAAACGCCCTCAATCCGTGAAGCTCTTGCCGGCGCTGAGGCGCGAGCCACATTTTGAAAACCACCCGCCCTCAATCCGTGAAGCTCTTGGGAATTACGAATGTGTGCGGCGCTACGGCGAGAGCCACATTTTGAAAACCACCCGCCCTCAATCCGTGAAGCTCTTGCAACTTTTGAAAACGAATGTGTGCGGCGCTGAGGCGAGAGCCACATTTTGAAAACCACCCGCCCTCAATCCGTGAAGCTCTTGGGAATTACGAATGTGTGCGGCGCTGAGGCGAGAGCCACATTTTGAAAACCACCCGCCCTCAATCCGTGAAGCTCTTGCAAACTTTTGAAAACGAATGTGCGCGGCGCTGAGGCGCGAGCCACATTTTGAAAACCACCCGCCCTCTATCTGTGAAGCTGTTGTCACTTTGTAAGCTTCAGAGTCGTAAGTGGTGAGGAAGTCTCAGGCGAAGCGTCCGGCCCTCCCTAACAACTTGCCCCGGGGGGCGACAGGGAGGAGTTATCTTGAAGGAGAAGGAACTGAGGAGGAGGAGGAGGACAGAGGATGTGGAGGTGGCGGAGGAGGAGGGGAGGAGGAACAGGAGGTGGAAGGCGCAGGGGCAGGGCGGGAGTGGCGAGGAGGAGAGGTAGAGGAAGAAGGAATTCGAGGACTGGCCTCTCATGTCTCTGTGCCGGCGGGCATTGCAGAGGGCTGGGGGGCATGCTGGCGGTGGCGGCGTGGCCAGAGGGCTGATGCCTAAGAGCCCACGGCGGCGGCGTTGACGAGGGCGAGGGCGATCGAGGATCGAGGATTGCGGACCTAGGATCGAGGATTGCGAGGATCGAGGATCGAGGATTGGGAGGATCGAGAATCGAGGAGGATGAGTAATCGAGAATCCAGAGTCGAGGACGAATTTAGAATCGTCTCTGGAGGTTCTCATCACCTCGTTAGGGCACGGCTCGTGAAGCGGGCCAGGCGGATCCCAGAGAGGGGTCTTGGGACCTCTTTGAGAGCGGATTTTTGGTAGTGGATGGGGCAGCGACGACGACGACTACGACGACTGGGACATCCAGGCGTCGCACAACTATCACGACGGCATGCCCCGCGGGATAAGGTCGAGAGCTTCGGGGCTTGTGGCGTGAAAGAATCACGGCGTCGCAGATCTGGGACTGACGCTGGTGGGGATGCCGACGACGACGATGACGACGACGACGACGAAGACGACGACGACAACGACGACGACGACGACGGCGATATCGGCGACGACGGCGGCGACAGCGACGGGGATCGAGGATCGAAAGAGCGTGTTCTACTGCTGCTGGCGGAAAACTGGGGGGGGGGTCACTGGGGGTTCTCAACCTGTCCCCCCCCCCGCTCTCGAAAACTGGGGGGGGTCACTACCGTTTCGAACCCCACCCAGTCCATCATGAAAAAGGGGAAGGGGTCACTGCTGGTTCGAACCCCTCCCCCGCCCCCCCTCGCCGGCGGCAAACGATTCCCGCTTTTTGGGGCAGTTGGACAGTTGTGGGGATACTGGGACAGTAGTGGGGACGGTGGTGGTGGGGACAGTGGTGTGGGGACAGTGGGACAGTGGTGGGGACAGTGGGACAGTGGTGGGGACGGCAGTGGTGGGGACAGTGGTGAGGGCGGTGGTGAGGACGGTAGTTGGACAGTAGTACAGTGGGGAGAGTGGTGGGGACATTGGGGACAGCGGGACAGTGTTGGGGACAGTGGGGACAGTGGGACAGCACAGTGGGACAGCGGCGGGGACAGTGGGGACAGTAGAAGAGTGGTGGGAACAGTGGGGACAGTGGGACAGTGGTGGTGACCGTGGGCAAAGTGGGACGGTGGTGGGACAATGGTGGGGAGAGTGGGGACAGTGAGACACTGGTGGCGATAGTGGTGGGGATAGCGGGGATAATAGTGGGAAGAGTGGGGACAGTGGGACAGTGGCGGAGACTGTGGGACAGTGGTGGGGACGGTGGTGGTGGGGACAGTGGTGTGGGGATAGTGGGACAGTGGTGGGGACAGTGGGATAGTGGTGGGGACAGTGGCGAGGGCGGTGGCGAGGACGGTGGTGGGACAATGGGATAGAGGTACAGTGGGAACAGTTGTGGGGACAGTGGGGACAGTGGTGGGAACAGTGGGACAGCTCAGTGGGACAGCGGCGGGGACAGTGGCACAGTGGGACGATGGCGACAGTGGGGACAGGGGGACAGTGGTGGGGACCGTGGGGGAAGTGGGGAGAGTGGGACCGTGGTGGGAACAGTGGTGGGGACAGTGGGGGCAGTGCGACAGTGGTGGGGGCACTGGTGGGGACGGTGGTGGGAACAGTGTGGACAGTGGTGGTGCGGACAGTGATGCTGGGGACAGCAGTGGGGGATGTGGTGCGGACGGTGGTGGGGACCCTGGAGTCGTTTGCCGGCGGTGGGTGGGGGGGGGGTTCGAACCGGCAGTGAGTGACCCCCCCTCGGTTTTCTGGAGGGGGGGGTTCGAACCAGTAGTGACCCTCCCGGTTTTCTGGAGGGTGGGTGGGGGGTTCGGACCGGTAGTGACTCCCCGGTTTTCCGGAGGGGTGGGGGGGCAGGGGTTAGGGGGGGGAAGGGGTTTTGCGGGGGGGAAGGGGGGGGGTCCAGCAGGGGGGGAGGGATTTTCGAAGGGGGGGGGAATTTTCCGCAGTAAAGCGGCGGTGGATCACGCTCTCTCCGAGTCAGGTTTTTTGAGCGCTTTGGCCCTCTTTGGCGTCGGGGGCCCCGAGCGGCGGGGCGTCGGGGGACCTCTGGAAACCTCCTTTTCCCCTCGCTGATATTTCCTCCCTGTCGCAGTCGCACCTCTACCTTCACCCTTTACCAAACTAATAATCCTCCCTGTCGCACCTTACCACCGTCCCTGTACCGCACTAATAATTATCCCCTGTCGCACCCACAGGCGTGTCGGTAGGCCAGGCCGTGCGTTTCTCCTGGGACTTCCTCGCCATTTGTGATCCTGAATCTTGAAATTTGCAACACAGTCAAGGATGGAGCACATGCCGTTTTCAAAATGTGGCTCCGCCATAGCGCCGCGTACGTTCGCTTTGAAAGTTTGCAGCGGTTTCCAGGAGGCCCGCTCCTTTTCAAAATTTAGCTCTCGCTTCAACGCCGTTCCAGCAGTTTCAAGCAATCGTAGGGTTGATGTCCCAGGAGTGGTGTTCGGGCACGCTTGATGATGTCAGGACGCAACCGTTGCGTTGTTGATTCGCGGTGTTCAGTCCCAGGACGGTGCTTTGGCACGATTTCCGCTTATCAGGACGCAACAGTCACATGCATTCGCGGCGTTGAAGTCCCAGGAATGTTGTTTTGGCGCGGTTGAAAATTTTTAGCCGCTTTTTTTTCGCAATGGAATGTATTTTTGTGGTAGGGGCTTCAGAAGAGGGAACTTGGAAGGAGGGTTTACTGCAACATCGCTGATGCATTTTGGGTTGACACTGGTCCCCCTCCTTGTCTTCGCCGCTTTCGTCTTTGTTGCCCCAGGCTCAAATCATCCCCTGATCTGGGATCCGAGGAGGTGTGTGCCAAATGGTGGCAAGTTCCTAGGGCCGAAAATCTTGAGTCGTCTCTCCCCTCCGCGCGCTCGTCCACGCTTTCGCCGTCCTCCCCAACTCCTCCCCCAACTCCTTCCTCCCTTCCTTTTGGCTCCCCCCCACCGGCCTCCTTCGTCCCGCCACGGCCCTCCTTGTCCTCCGTCCTCCCCATCCATCCTCACCGCCCAGGCCCGCGAGGGTTCCGCCGCTGCCTGCGCTCCGGTCCGTCCCTCACTCGGCACTTCCCTGCGCTCACCGCCCGCCAGCGACGGCTGCGCAGGCACGGCGGCCAGCGGAAAAGGTGGGAAGGTGAGATCGTGCAGCTTCGGTGCGCCGAACCAAGCAACCAACGAGGGTTCACGCCGGCACGCGGCAGTACGAAGTGGAGCAGATCAGAAGCAGCGCTTCTGCCGCACTGCTCACGGCTCTCAGGACCCCTGGTCGAGAGCCTCCGCCTCCACACATGGGGGCTCCAGCCCGCCCACACGCCCGCCTTCTCCAGGCCCCGCCGCCCGGCGGACGGTGGCGCGCTCTGCTCTGCTCTGCTCTGCTCTGCTCTGCTCTGCTCTGCTCTGCTCTGCTCTGCTCTGCCGTGCTGTGCACTGCGCTCGCCGTGCGAGCTGTCTGCCGGGGGCCGACGAGCGTGCGCCCGCACTCCTGCCCAGGCCAGCCCCTGGGGGCTCCAGGGTCGGTGCAGTTTGTGCGCTGGGCGGAGATGTCGGCTGAGCCCCGCCCCTTCGGGGGTGCCTGGGGAAGGGGCGCTCTGGAGGAGCCCGGCGGTCTCGGGAGGCGGCCGGCGGGGCGGGAAGAGCCCGCGGTGCTCCGGGCCATCGCCTGCCCCCTTCGGAGCTCACGAGTCGGCGTCGAGGGCCTGCTCCCGCGACGCCTCCCTGACCAGGCGGGCGTGTTGGCCTGCCCGTCGCGCTCCGTAGACGCAGCGGCTGCGCGTGGGAGGCACGCGGGCCACCGGCCCTCCGCCTCTTCAAGGGAGGGCGGCCCCGCCGGCGGCCTCGGCCTGTTGCCAGGTGAGGAGTGTGTGTTGGCCTAGGGGTGGGCCCTGCCAGGATCGGTGCAGGCGAAGTAATAGCTGGCGTCTTAGCTGCCTCGATACGCCCGTTTTGAAACGCTACACGTACCGTGTTCAAACCGTCCGTGTTAGCACGCTGTGTGTTGGCTCAGCGTGTTGGCCCACGTTTTGGCGAAAGTACCGCGTCATACCTACGTTTTCGGTCTGCGTGTTGAGCTCCGTATCAACACGCTACGTGTTGCGTGTTGCCTCCGAGAGGCTCACGGTCTGCGCAGGACCGATCCGCCGAAGGCCCCACCGTTGCCGCCTCGTCGCCGCCTGTTGCAGCCACCGCCGTTGCCGTCGCCCCTGCCGCCGCCGCCGACGCCGCCTTCGCTGCCACCGCCGCCCTCATTGCCGCGGGCGCCCGCTCGCAGCTCGTCGACGACGGCGGCGCTGACGACGACGACGACGAAGACGACGACGACGACGACGACGAGGAGGAGGAGGAGGAGGAGGAGGAGGAGGAGGAGGAGGACGACGACGACGACGATGACGACGACGGCGACGGCGACGGCGGCGGCGGCGGCGGCGGCGGCGGCGGCGACGGCGGCGGCGGCGGCGGCGACGACGACGACGACGACGACGACGACGACGACGTCGACGCGACGACAACGACGACGACGACGACGACGGTGGCGCTGTCGACGACGACGTCCGCTCGAGCGAGCCAGCTGGCCCCAGCGCGAGGCACCGCGCTCCCCGTGAGCGGAGTGGCGCCGCTCGGAGTGGCGTGCGGGACCGCCGTCCGAGCGGCACCCCGGCGGGCGCAGTGCGCTGCGGCGCCGAGAAAGCCTCGCCGCCGCCGCCGCGGCCGCCGCCGCCGCCGCCGCCGTCGTCGCCGCTGTCGTCGTCGTCGTCGACGTGATAGTCGTCGTCGTCGTCGTCGTCGTCGTCGTCGTCGTCGTCGCCGCCGCCGCCGCCGCCCGCCGCCCGCCGCCGCGGTTGCCGCCGCCGCCGCCGCCGCCGCCGCCGTCGCGCCGTCATTGTCGTCGTCGTCGTCGTCGTCGTCGTCGTCGTCGTGTCAACAGCGCCGCCGTCGTCGTCGTCGTCGTCGTCGTCGTCGTCGTCGTCGTCGTCGTCGTCGTCGTCGTCAGCGCCGTCGCCCTCGCCGTCGCCGTCCTCTCTGTCGTGGTCGCTGCCGTCGTCGTCGTCATCGACTTTCTCGTCATCGTCGTCGTCGGCGCCGTCGTCGCCGCCGCCGTCGTCGTCGTCGTCGTCGTCGTCGTCGTCGTCGTCGTCGTCGTCGTCGTCGTCGAGGGCGGCGCCGGTGTCAACGGTTTCTTCGGCATCGCAGTCGTTGTCAATGTCGTTGTTGCCAGCGTCGACGTCGCCCGCGCCGCGGATGCCTTGGCCGTCTTTCTCTTGGCGCGCGCGCGCTGACGGCGTTGTGGCTTCCGAGCCTGAAAAGGTAAGGGGGTGGTCTCAGCGTTTGGCTGGCGAGGGTGGTGGGGGAGCATGCGGGTCAGCGCCCGTGCGCCCCGCGGGAGCCACCGCCGCCGTCTTTTGCCGTCTGTTGCAGCCGCCGCCGTCGTCGCCGCCGTCGCCGACGTTGCCGACAGTGCCGCCGCCGCCGTCGCCACCGTGCTGCCGCCGCCGTCATCGCCGCCGCCGTCGTCGTCGTCGCCGTCGTCGTCGTCGTCGTCGTCGTCGTCGTCGTCGTCGTCGTCGTCGTCGTCGTCTCGCTGCCGCCGCGCGCCCGCGCACGTCCTGAGGGGCCGTCGCCGTCGCCGTCGCCGTCGCGCGCCGCCGGCGGCGGCCCTGCGGGCGGGCCGGCGGCGCGGCGCTCGGCGGGTCCTTGGCCAGGCGCGCCCTCCGAGCGCGGGGGTCGGCGCGCGGGCGCGCGGGCGGCGGCCACCGCCGCGCGCCGTCGTTGTAGCGCCGGCGGCGCGGAACCGCGGGGCCCAGCCGTCGGCTACGCTTATGACCGAGGCCAGAAAACGGGGTCGTTTGCGCCGACATTGGCGCGTGGGCTGTCCGCGTGAGTTCGCGCGTGAGCGGCCTCGTCTGCGCTGGCTTGTGGCGCCGGGAGCCGCGTCAGCCGCGGCGCAAGGCTGCTATGTGATCTCGCGTAAGACTCGTTTCTTTTCGTCGCGTGTAGGAGTGTGACGCTTCGCCGGAGTGACCTGTGTCTGCGGCGAGCCCAGGGGGGAGTGCGAGGGGGCAGGCCTCCTCAGAAGGCGGCGGGGCTTGTCAGAAGCCGTCGCGCCTTCCGAGACGCTGGGCCCCCTGGGGCCCTCCGATCGCCGAGGGCGATGCGATCACAGCGGCCTGCGCGTGGGCTTTCCAGCCGTGCGCCCCCCGAAAGCTGCGCACCACGGGTCACGCTTGCCCTGGGTCGCTCCCGCGTGCGGCCGAGGCCGGGCCCGCCTCGCAGTCGGACGGGGTGGGCGCAGGGGCTCGGCGCTGGCCACCGTCGGCGTCCCAGCTCTCCAGCGATACACATTTTTTTCAATCCCGGCGCTTTTCCGGGATTTCGGCCTCCGGGGGCTCGTGCAGTCAACGCGCCTACACATGGTTCAGTTCTAATTCTTCGAAAATTCTTGGATTCTTTTGGGGGCCAGGATCCTTTCATTTCTGATTGTTCTATCTTGGGCCTCTTCCTGGCCACTAGGGGGCCAGGAACAATTGGAAACTATCGCAAGTAGAAATGAGCACGATTAGAAATGAACGACGTGTAGTGAGGACGCGCGCCTTCATCTGGGGTGCCCTTGTGTCCTTGCCTCCGCGGCCCGTCCTTGGCCGTCTTCGCTGGTCGCCCGCCGCCCCAAAAATCCAAACTTCGGCCTCCAAGGTCTTGCGTCCTGTCTCCCAGTCCTGAATGCACGTTTTGACCGTAGGGCTGATAGGGGCTCATAGGTCTCGGAGGGGCCATTGGGATCATAGGGCGGCCGCTGTCGGGCCCTGGGGCCATACAAGATGGATCCTGGACGTCAGGCTGCCCCCAGGGAAGGGGTCGGGAACTTTCGGGCCGCGCACTGAAAATATCATGTCGGAGGATGCCTGTCTTTGGAGAGGCCCCAAGACTCACCCCCTTCTGCTCCGCCTCCTGCCAGCAGGGTCAGGAGGGCTGCCTGCCTGGTACGTACTGGGGAGCGCCCCCAGGCCTGGCTTTCGTCAGCCCCGCCCTCACGCCAGACCTTGTTCTGTTGCCTTGCTGTCTACGTATGTAATAGTGGCCGCCTCCCCCATGGCGAATCCCTCTGAGCGATCGCTACCGGCACGCTCTCTTTCGCTTCTTCCGCCGCCCTATCTCCCGCCCGCCCTTTCCGACACGCATGCACGTTCACTTTGGGCCAGGTAGTCAACCCTTGATATTTTCCGTATCCCCCCTGGAGTGCTCGCGGGGGGCAGCTCGTAGCGCGCACAACGCAGCTCGCACGTGCACGTTCGCAGGAACCTCCCTGCAGTCTGGCCTATCAGGTGGAGAGGTGATGGTGGTGGGGGTGCGCATGGGAGCCGCCGGAGATTGCGGGAGAGCCTCATCATCTCCGTGGTGCCTGAGTCGGCATTTCGGGGGAGCGCGCCAGTCTGGGCCAGATCTGGGCACTGGGGGGCTGGAGACTCTCGGGACGCCCGCTCTGGCCGCTCCGAGCGCCAGCTTCGACCGTCGAGCTTGCCACAGTTGTGATTCTGCGTGTACCGTCCGCGTCTTTTCTGGCCCGTCTGCCCGATGCGCCACAGGGTGCGGCGATATGCCCTCTAGTGGGCGCGAGTACCTCGGCTGGAACGTTGGCAACAAGGACGCCGCAGAAGGAGAGAAGGGTGGCAGTGATGACAGCAGATGTTGGTCGAGCCGCGAGTCTCGGAATACAGGCAAGAGTAGGAGTATCAGTAGCATCATGGTACCAGCAGCAATTGGCAGTAGCAGGAGAGCAGGAGACAGAGGATGAGGAAAACGAAGAGGATGCAGAGAGTGAGGAGGAGGAGGAGGAGGAGGAGGAGGAGGAGGAGGAGGAGGAGGAGGAGGAGGAGGAGGAGGAGGAGGAGGAGGAGGAGGAGGAGGAGGAGGAGGAGGAGGAGGAGGAGGAGGAGGAGGAGGAGGAGGAGGAGGAGGAGGAGGAGGAGGAGGAGGAGGAGGAGGAGGAGAGGAGGAGGAGGAGGAGGAGAAGAAGGTGGAGCGGCAGGGGCAGGGTTGATGGGAGGAAGCGAGTGCACTCGTGCTGCCGCGCATCGACGGGTCTTCCTCTCTTGGCGGCCGCCGCAGCGCTGGGTCTCCCATGGGCCCTTGCCTGCCGATCTACCTGAGCGAGCCTTGGCTCCTGGCTCTTCAGTGCTCGTCGTGTCGGCGGGGTGTTCTCGGGCGGGCTGCGCAACGCTTGAGAGTTGTTCAGGGTGCAAAGTCGTATAAGAAGGAACAGTGGGTGCCGCCGCCGTGCCAGCTCAAGGCGCACGCGTGAGCCCTATCCGTTCGGGTACTTTGCAGTCGCCCTGCTAGTGTATGGAAATGGTGCCGGGAAGATGTTCCCATCCTCTCAAGACCATGTCCATTGCCCTCATGTAGTCGACTTTATGGCAACCTGGCGGTTTTCTGGTCTGCCCATTGCAGAACGATAGTCTGCGCGTGGGGTGGTTAGAGGCAGCTGGGCATTTTTTTCAGCCGCGGAGGAGATCGGTGCCGATGCTGTCCACAGGGGGCGGACCGACATTCTGCCCGACTCCGTCACGTCCCGACCCCAAGGCCAGGCGACGCTCCCATCCAGCAATCAGTGGGCGTGGTGACGTGATGGTGATGGCGGTCAGGACAGTGATGTTGACGAGGCTGGCCGATGAAGATGATCTCACACTGAAGCTGATGTTGAGGGTGGTGACGGTCGTCGTGCTGAGGGTCAATCTGATCGTTGCGGGAAGATTTTTTTTCTTGTTGGGATGTCTGGGAGCATGAGCCGGAACCTTTTTCCTCCTTCATTGGGGGAGTGTGCGTTGGGGGCGATCGGCCTCTGCTGCGACAGAGTGCGTGCCGCGTCTAGTGGGTAAGGTGTTACTAAAAGGATCTGGAAATGGTGATAGCGGGGGAAACAAGTTGAGGTGGTAACAGTTCAAGCGAAAAAACAGAGCTCCAGGAACCTGCTACGCAGGCCTGGAGGGCCATGTGGGTGGGCTTAACTGGATATGATGACGGCACAACAGTTGGGGAGTGCTCTTCTCCCCGTCCTCCCTCTTCGGTTTACGTGTGCCTCTTTCGGTGAGTTGCGCATTTGTTCCCCGACCGCCAGGTAGGTTACACGGTTTTCCATGATTGGTCTTGCCAGTTGCTAGCGTGTGTATCGGAACGCGTGCTGTTTATGATTGCGCAAGTTGTTCTACGATGGGGTGGTAGGGTGGTCTGAGGTGTACGACGTCAACATGACTTCATCGGGCGTAGTCGGGCTAAGCGCTCCTACCCCTGGTAGCAGATCGTATTAGTAACTGCGCGATGTTGTGGCAATGCGTGGTAGTGTGGGGCATTGTATCCGCAGATTATTCTAGATGCCATCTACGGCACACTCGGCTACGTGCCTGGTCGATGGCACGCTGACTTATCGGTAGCAGAGCAGAGCAACCATTCCGTAAGAAACACAAGTGCATGTGTGTGTGTGTGACGGGGTGCAAGACAGCCCTCAACTTACTTCGGGCCAGCTGGGACACTGTTTCGAGTGAGCAGCAGCGTTCGGCTGCCAATGGCAAGGACAGTCGGCACTAGAGATGTGCTGCAATGGCGAGGCTCGTCTTGAAGCCTCATATAAGGACATGCGTACAGCAATGTGAGATTTTATGTAGGCGCGATGGAATCATCGCATGCCCCCGAGCTA